TATATATATATATATATATATATATATATATATATATATAAGTATATTCTTATTAAAATGTTTCTTTTTCCTCTTATGATTAGGGAAAATGTACCATAGTCTACTATGGTATTTGTCACTAAGGATCTATCAACCCTCAGTTTCTCTGAGGGATGGATGGTGATTAACTGTACCTGGATGTATGTGGTTGACTCTGCCTGTGGGCTCCACTCCAGATAGTCTCCATTCTTTCATCAATGGGAATGGATTGTGGATGTTGCCTAGATGTAGCATATACAATATTCCATTGGGACATGCTATACTTACAGTGATCATTCTTAGTGGGTTTCTAATATGTATCCCTCTCTTTTGAACAGAGGGTATTCTTGGTGAAACTCTCAGCAAGTTCAGCATATGGAGTCTATATTTGACATTTGTGCTAGCAGTTGGTCGGTTTATCAGGCTGCAGTGTTCAGACCTGAGGATGAGAATACCCTATGAGAATCTACCTTCCTGTGACAGGTACAGCCACAAATTTCTTTACAATTTTGTGTTTTATTGTCTCTTGATATACTAGAAGTTGGCAATGTAAGAAAGGCAAATTATTTGAAACTGATGGAACTGGCTAATTGAAAAAGAAAAACATGAAAATTGGGAAGACCCCAAAAGACCAGCCGTATATTATTTTCTTGAACTTTGCATTTTACTTGAGAATGATGGTTCACACATGCAAACATGATAAATAGTACTTTTCGCTTTAACTCTTTAGATTAAGAATAAAAGGGTCAGTATAAACAGAAGCACGCCTGTTGTTTTCTTCCCTTTCCCTCAAAGTTAATACTTCATTACTAAGAAAAAAAATCATTAATGAGAATTTATAATCATTTAAAAGGTTTCTCCTTGAGAAAGAGTGCAAGTCAACCTCTATGTATCATAAAAAGATATAATTAATAGTCTCATGTGATGATGCCCTGAAATAGACGTAGAGAGAAGTCTCTTGATAGTATGATATTGACTGTCCATGACCTATACTAACTTGTACCTCTCTAAGGATTGATTTGGCATCGCCTCCAAAAACATAGTCCCGTTGTTCAAGGCAACTCGGAAATTTCAAGTGAGGGATGTTACTAGCAAAATCCGTTAATATAAATCATTCTGAGAACTAAATTTGCTATGGTTTTTGTATTTTTTGTTGATTTGATCATTACCTTATGCCATGAAGAAGTTCATGTGTTTCACAGGTTGATAGCCATTTGTGAGGACATCTATGCTGCTAGAGCAGAGGGTGAGCTAGAAGTTGAGGAAGTCTTATACTGGACATTAGTGAAGATATACAGGTCACCGCATATGCTTCTCGAATACACCAAACCAGATTGAAGATGCTTTACTAGCTTCTATTACTGCCATCAAATCGTTGGATGGAGAGACAGAAAAAAAGAGAGCACTAAGGAAGGATTGGCAAACTGCTCAAGATATTAACAGGAGCCATTTCACCCACGTGTTATGAAAAAATGAGTTCCTCAGAATAACCTTTGCCTTGTCCTTCGAGCTCCACCAATTGTCTATCTCTCTGTATGTTGGATGAGTGTGGAAATTTTCAGTTGGTTATTTGAAGAATTGGGTGATAGGAAAGCTCTATAATTGATTTGCTGCTGATTTATGCAGTGCAGTCACAAGTCACCCAAGCACGCAAGGCTTGATTTGTATATCAAGAGCTGGCTCTAAATGGGGCAGCGTCATTTGTTGTACGTATATGCACGAGTAAATTTTGGTGGTTATTGGAAAGGAAATGTTTTTTTCGTTCTTTCTATTTTTTTTTTGGTGGTCATTTTTTTCATTTTTTTTCGTTCTTTTTCTTTGTTGTCATTCTTTCACACCTAAAAATCACTGTTCAAGCAAATTATTACACAAAAAATAAGAGGCCCACGAAAGTATGTCACTGAATTTTCCATTTACCAGCAAAAGGACTGGCATGGAGTATAATTTTGTTGATTAAATGGAGAGCCTTAATAAGCCCATCATGATAGTCCGTTTCTATTATGCTTCTTGTGATTAGTGGTCACTGAAATAAATAAAACCTAGCAATGAAATAAAACCGGAGAAATTTGAAGTCTTCTCTCTTGGGCCTAGGAAAAGATCTTGTTCTGGAATATAAGAATAATATTAAATCTTCTATTTTTATATAAGAATAATATACAAGGTAATCCAGTGGATCATGACACGTGGTACTCCAAGCTACATCTACCGTCCATTGGGTGATTGTCCTTGCAAGATCTATTGGAGTTAATCTGCAGTCGTCCATAATTAATTTACGTTTATCTATAACAGGAACATGAACGTAGCTTTGAAGTTCCATGTACCATGTTCAATGTACAATATACTTTTCAAGTATCTAACGAAGTTAGGTTTTGTACGTCTTTCTATATGTTTGATCTTTCATCAATGGGCTAGCAATGGGGAGGATAACAATAGTCCACATTAATTGTGTTCTGACAAAAACTATTGGCATTAATGCGACTTTGTTGTCAATACGTTTGTCAATTCATTGCAAACTATCCAATCAAAATTCTCCCTCCCTAATGTAGACTGTATTTAGGACTCAAAGAAAGGTTTATGCACTATTCGGTAAGATTGTCCACAATAATGTGTTGGAGATTGAGAAGGGTTTCCCCTTTTATTTATTTCTTATATAGGACAAAAAAAGAAAAAGAAAAAAAAATCATCTACTAGCTGGACCAGACCATTAGGGTTTGGTTAATGCAGATGGAGGGTAAAAGCCTATCTGGGTTGATTAGAAACTGGTCGTCGGGAGGCTTGGGGTGGATACGAAATGTGTAAGAAACTTCAAGCAAAGCCCATAAGCGCATCTGAGAAAAAAAAAAAAAAGAAAAAAAAGAAGAAAGGAACAAGGAATGTTTACATAGATTCAACTAAAAATATTTTGTTATGGCAAGTTTGGATAGAGGAGCTGAAGAGATTCGAGAGCAAAATTTGGTAGAAAGGAGAGCCCTACAAGTTTATCTAAGATTAGAAGTACATTTGTACCAAAGGTCTTGGGACACGGGGCTGGATGAAAGGGACAAATATCCCAAATGATTGCATGCCATGGCCAACCCTAGAAGGCATAGAAACCTAATCCAGGAGGTCAAGAGTTTTTATGGTATACAAGATATAGATGAAAAAAATACAAAGATACCATTTACTTTTAGTACAAGGCGGTCACAACTATTTTTGTCCATCAAATTTCAAATAAGATGGTGGTAAGTATACTTGTGACTAAATTCAAAGCCCAACAAAAAAAATTCTTGAACTTTGTGGTACACTCCTAACCATCCAATTGGACATCTGATGGCAAGGATTAGTTATGACCTCCTTGTACTAAAGATAAATGGTCTCATGGTATACAATCCCAGACATAGAGAGACATTCTAAGGTACTTTAAGGTAACATATCAGGAAGAGGGGAGAGTGAGACCATCGCTGTCCTTCGAAGAAGTCCCCTTTGAGAAGATTCACCGAGAAAGCAAGCTATGAGAAGAAGTGGCCCTTGATGAGGAGTTTCAAAAAGCTGTCTATAGCTCCGGAAGAGATAGGGCACTGAAGCCGAATGGTTTCCCAATGGCCTCTCCATGATTTCTGGGAGATGCTGAAGGATGAATTTTTTGAAATGTTCATAGGGTTCTTTGTAGCTGCAAAATTAATAAGGCATTGAATTCTTCCTTCATTTCTTTGTACCAAAGAAAGGAGGGTTCAAAGACACAAGACCCATCATCTTGCTGGGGAGTGTAATGAAATATTGGCAAATTCGCTGGCCTAGACTCAGGGAAGTGTTATCAAAGGTCATTTCCTTGCCTAAAGCTGTGTTTGTTTAGGTTGATGGGGAAATTTTTGCCCATGAGTGTATCCATGCCGCATATGTGAAGGGTAGGCAAATCCCTGATGGCGGAACGGTCGTCCATGACTGCAAGATCTTGGGACAAAGCAGCAGAGTAGGGGTGGTAAGTTGGACCTTAGGAAGGTGTATGACAGGGTGAACAGGTCCATACTAGAGTCATCACTCGATGATGGGATGATGGGCTTTACAGATAGATACAGAAGGCGAATCTCAGGCTTTCAGTCATCAGTCCATTTTTCCATCTTGATCAATGAAGAACCGAAAGTATACTTCCCAGGCCAAAAATGATAAAGATAACGGGATCCCTTTTCCCCTTTGCTTTATTCAATAGTGGCTGAATCTTTAGCTGCATGTTATCCTATGTGTATCAATCTGGGGGATACTTACAGGGATCAAATCTCTCCCTAGAGGTCCTGTTATTAAACACTTGCAGTGTGCTGACAATACCATGGTGTTTTGCCAGTCAAGTTCCAAAGAAATGAACCTATTTCTATTTTTGAGGTACAATGTCGTTTGCTGCAGGTATTAGGGTAATTTGAAAAATACTAATCTGGTAGGGGAATTGATCCCGAATGAGAAGTTGGCTGACCTGGCAAAATGTGTGGACTGTGATACAGATAAATTGCCAAACAAAAACTTTGAGTTACCCTTGTAAAACCAGTAAAACAGATATGAATTGGGTGCTAGAGAGATTTCAGAATATTTTATCGCATGGGGTTGTTTTTTTTTTTTTGTGTGGGGAGGAGGGGAATTGGGAAGGGGGGAGTCAGTGGGATTAGCCTAATCAAATCAACTTTATCTAATCTCCCTATTTATTGTATGTCTTTATTTAGGTCCCTTCCTTGATGGCAAAGGAGATTTATAGACGACGAAATGATTCTTGTGGGAAGACTTCAACAAATACCTCGTTTTCACTTGGTTTGATGGGGACCTAAAACACCAGGTGTCTATGTCTTAGGAAAGATTAAAGGGAAAAATTGGGCTTGCATTATCACCTTTTAGACAAGTCTTGAAAACAAGTAGAAGACAGAAGTACCAGAGTGGCTAGTAAAGTGCCTCCAAAGCACTTTAAGTAATTTGGGCAGGCATAGCGAGCTGTGGATCAGCATTCATGCTCAACATCAGGAAAAATGTCGGAAGTGGACAAGCACGAGGTTTGGCTAGACCATTGGATCAGAGAAGGTCCCCTATGCTTCCCTATCAGAAATAGTGGGTGAAGGATGCAAGATAGTATGGACCCAGGACTCATACTGGCGCTTAAAGATGAAGAATGTGGGTCCTTTATGGCTACGGTTGACATGCTTCAGAAGTTCTTCCTGGTAACCAAAAGAGATCTTGACTCTTGATTGTAAAGGAGATTTCTCTATAAATTCCATGCATTGTTGCCTAACTTTGGAGCTTAGAAGCTGATTCAGTGCTTAGCAGGGCTTCAAACATCCCTGGTTTGCGGAAGAACCAGGCTTGGATGGCTGGTTGCTTTAAACAGAGTGCTCACAATAGATCATCTGATGACAAAAGATATGCCAATTATGTGCAAAGACAACGAGGAAACAGTAAATCATATTTTTATACGCTGCCCACCATTGAGAACTGTTCTTTCATGTTACAATTGCTTGATTTCACCTGAGTCCTGCCCTCTTTGTACCCTGCTAAAGCAGCAGTTCACCCCCACAATTGCCAAAAACGGGCATCACTCTCAGGAGATTAACACTGTTGGCAATTGTATTAGTGATTTGGCAAGAGAGGGAATATAAAAGACTTAAAAGGTAAAAGACGCAGGATGGATAAGATTAATGATAAACTAAAGGTCACTATTATATATTAAGCTAAAGTCAAGAATGAGTTTTGGGGTTATTCAGTAACTGATTTCAAAAACCACTGGAGGGAGATTGCATACACAAAAGCAAGAAGACAAAAGAGACCTTGCAAATGGCATACACCACATGGAGGTGCATCGAAGCCAAATTCTAATGAGAACTGCACAAGAGAAACCAGAATGAGAGCTGCACAAGGGAAACCAGGTCCAGCAGGAGCAGGAGGCATGATAAGGGATCATTTGGGGAAGATCCTCTTGACAATCTCTGGGCCCCTTTCATCTTTGCAAATCCAAACGCTGAATCACGGACTGCTCCTCGACTTAGAAATTGACCAAGCCGGACTTCTATCATTATTGAGGGTTATTCCAGCGATGCAATTGCTTGGGCCAAAAAGGAAACACCATATCCTTGGTGCCTAAAAAACGTCTTCAAAGAGATAAGGAATTGATTTGCAGAAGTCAGAAATACAATACAATTCTCATCACGAGAAACTGATGATGAGTCCTGACGACTCGGCTGAGGAAGGAATATCCTAACAATCTTTTAGTGAATTGATATAGTGACTAGAGAGCCTCTTTACAGAGGTTTCCTTGTAGAGCCTTCTGTACATGGACTAAGTTCTGTAAAGATTATCCCTACTTGCATATCAATTCTTTAGAGAATGAAATTAAAGTTACCATATTTCAGGAAAAAAATAGAAAAGTCTCGCAACAATCTCTCCTCCCCTGACAATTTCTCAAACGTATACTGTTCAGCCAATGTTACATTACTAAACAACAACAGTTTAGTTGGCTCACCATTGGTGACTAACCTTAACCACAACCTAATTGGTAGTGAAATGGCTCATCATTTTTTATTTTTTTTTGAATATGTGAAATGGCTCATCATTTGTGACTAACCTTGACCACAACCTAATTGGTGGTAAAAAAAACCCACTTACGAGTTGGTTTACCAAAGCACTAAACTACTCTTTATTTCTTAGTTGTGTCATTCTCCGTAATATAGCATGCAAGTTACCTAAGTAATAGTTGTTTTCAACAATCAAGATAACTCAAGCGCATAACTTAAGTGGAAGGCCCTTGCTGGTGCCAACTTTAGGTTCATCCCCAGCTTACCCATCAAAAACAGAAAAAAAATCATCAAACTAACTCAAGCTTCAGATTTTAATAGTATACTTCTTATGCATGTTGGGTAGATAATCTCCATTGATTGAGGCATTCTACCAATTTCACTCAAAGTTTCACAAGTTGATGCGCTAATAAAAGAACAAAGAAAAAAGAAGAAGACAAATCCACTCATTTTATGAATCAATAGAAGGCTCTAATACACCAGCCCCAGCTGATAAAAGAGTAAGCACTCTGAGATTGAATCCATTAAAACAACGGTTTTAGAAACGATAGCAGGCAGAGGTAAGCATCAAGGAAATACACTAATGCAATCCTCTTATTAACCAGTCACCACTATTCCCTAAAGACATATTCTAGATGTGCATAACCCAAAGTTTTCTGATAGAAATTATATCGTATTCAATTATTAAGTCATTAGGGAGCACATCAAGGAGGCACTTGTTGAATGGTAATTGATAAGGAAGAAATTTTGGGGTCATGAAGTTGTTGAGCTGATAAGGAATTCGAGAGACCTATTGACATAGCTAACTCCAGGCCCTTTTTCGAAAAACCACACCTCCTGGTGTGGTGAAGCTGAACTTCGACGTGTTTTGTAATGGTCACTAGTGACCAGCTTGTATTGATGACTTTTATGGGAAGGTGATCTTAAGATCTTTCAGGTCTGATCTCGACCCTATGGGATTTAGGAGGATATGTATGCCTTACTTATGGCACAAAGCAATGATACCTAGTTGAATGTGGTTTCTTACCCCCTATTTCATAATATGCCCCAGTGACATTTTGTCCACTTATTTGTCAAACGTGTTATTATTCTGACTATCTATAAGATTTTCATGTGAATGAACAACAGTTGCCAATACTTATAAAATAAAATAGCCACTAATGAAGAAATACAGCTGCTCATTTTTAGCCTCACTTGGAGACTCATACTTGACCCCTTATTTCTCTCTCGCCCCAAGTCCGTCCATTTCCTCTTTCTACCCCATTGGTTTTACCTCTTGCCCCCCTTTGCCTAAAACTGAGTGTATTGGTGTCAGACAGTCTAAAATGCTTCCTCATATCTTTTTGAACAGTGATTTTTGTAACATGCAGATGCCTTGCTCTACCCTTGCCTCGCAAGACCTATGAGAAAATTTGTATGGAAAGAAGCAAATAGTAAGCAGCTTTACCATTTTATTTAATACAATGCAGAAAATTTCGTCTCCATAAAAAAGGATACCAACAAATAAAGTAGAAGACAATGTATTCAACGATAAACTAATCCAGATGAGGGATATGCTTGCAATGGAACTAGGTCGACTCTTTTTCTTTTTAAGGGTAAAATTAGAATGACTTCTATCTATTATTTGCTCGCTGCTGTCTCTTTTTATTAATCTTTCTCATAGAAATATCCCACAATAAATGCTAAAAACTATATAAGAATCAACAAAAGGAACATCAATAAGCATATGGCAGACCATGCATGTAATGTTAGTAAAAGAAAGCAAGTGGATGGACTTCTGATAGCATGTAATGAAATAATAATAATATAGAAACATCCATCTTTAGAATAGTTTAGATTTAACCCTTCTTTCAATCAGTATATCCTTGAACCGTAACTTTCCAAATCAATAAAAATCTCACAAATCTTTGCAATAACCATTATGAGCATCGAGGAACAACTTAATCCTGCATTAGAAATACACATGCAACTCCAACAGGTAGGCCCCTTCCCCACCCCTCCCCCCTCCCCACCCCAAAAAAACAAAAAAAAAAAGACGTTGACACCCAAATGTAAGAAGGTAAGAGGAATGTCGCATAGCAAAGCCACTCGTTAGTACAAAATTGCTAAATCTAAAGTAAGCCAATTACAAACATATCAAAGGAGAAAGAAGCAAACAAACCAACTTCAAGGCCAATCCAAATTGGGAAAATGCACATTTGAATTTTAAAATAGACTCTCTCAATCATCTTCCACTTTGCTCTTGACATTCCTGCTTTTATCATCGCCGCTCTCCCTCTTCCTCAGAAACATATCATTCATTATCTTTGGAACTGTAAAACAAAACTGAGAAACATCAACCCCAGCTTCTTTGTACTCCGATTTTGAGTCCAAGAACTTCCCAATCTCTGAAGGGGCCCTAACTTTTTTCCCTGTTGGTGTTGTATAATGAGCATCAATCTTAGAATAACACCTTCTGAGAACCAGTTCCCTTTCAAACCCTTGGGGTGGTTTTGGGAGGTTGGGTTTATCAATAATCCAAATACGGCTCGCATCGTACTCCAAATCAGCGGGATCATCACAAGAAACATTTGGGTTTTTGTTGCAGTACCATGGATCCTCAATAAAGCTTGCCCTTATGGTCTCAAACTCATGCTTGGATCCAACTGACCTCCATTTCATGCACTTGTAGCATTGTACAGCATATGCACCTGGGGTGTAGTTAAACTTTTTGGGTTTTTTCTGGACCATAACCATAAAAATAAATAGTATTCAACAAGGATTGGGTTCAATTATGCAGGAACTCAATCAAAATCGACTGAACAAATGCCTTTTTTTCCTTTATTCTTGGTGGGCTTCATTGGCTTCAAACAAATATCAAAGGTAAAAAGAAAAAAGAGAGAGAAAATACATATTAAAGGTTCAATAGTGAAGGATTAAAGCAAGAGAGTATATATTTTCTTGTTTTGACGATAGCTAAGATGATTATGGTTGAAGATATATTTTCTGATTTTTCATCAACACAGAGAACAACTTAAATGAAATTCCACGTTGGTTCTTGCAATTTTCATTTAATTATGGAAAATAAAGGGAAATTTTCATAAAAATTAGATGGAAAATCATACCTTCATAAGAGAGGATTCTTTCTCCATGGTCATCGCTATGTGCCGGCACCAGAACTGGTCCCTTTTTTATGGATATATTGTTCACGAATACTGTGCTACCTGTTTGTACACTGCATGAATATTTACTGGGACCATATAAGGCACCCCCATTAGGTTTCATAAGAACATGCGCACCTTTAAATTTGACTGAAAGATGTAATTTCGGTATCGGAAACCTAATATTTTTTGAAAATCTGTGTTCAATTCTATATAAAATTTAAATTTTCAAAAATGATGTAAATCGAGTGGTAAATACTTAAAAATATTGAAAATAGATATTCTAGGTAACATTTTACAAGATGCACTACTTCAAATCTTAAATTTTTATTTTTATTTTTTTATGTCCATGCAACTGAATATCGAGATGATCAATTGGAACTCTTTTTCACAGGATTTTTGAGGTAGACCTTACTTCTACAGTACAAAGTTATAACTGTATATAAATTTTTTTCTTTTTTTTTTACCTGGTTTTGGTGCATTAGCCTACTCACATATTTTATTGTGTGTCCTGGTATATCAAATGCCCATCTCTTAAAATGGTGCCTCTACTAAAGGCCAAAATAGATGGTGGAAAAATATAAAAATAAAAATATTTTTATTTTAAAATATATAAATTCATTATCTTTGTCATGGTTGAGATTAACGAACCTTAAAATTTTGAATGGACACACAAAAGTAGGCGATTTGGCATACTCACAAAATACTTATTATTTCTTTTAAGTAGGTTTCAACTTTCATTTTATGGAACATAGACACATATGTGCATAGTTCATGTTTGTGGTGACACATTAAAACACGATACTCATATATGATGCTTGATAAGTTCAGACACTCCTTTTTGTATTTTACTGATAATGATATTATCAAAATATTTTATATCATTTAGGATCTCACAACCTCAGGGATTGTTGTATCTGAAAGTACAGTTTTAAAGTTGGTATTGTTTAATATTTGTAACTGTGTCAAACATTACCATGAGTATCTGTGCTGTTGCACCATGATTCTAACCAGGTCAATATCATATTGGTGGATATAGAAGGCAAATGTCATAAGAAACACAACCATCTTGCCCATTTCTAAATTTTGGAGATGCAGCCTCTTCAAGCCATAATTTTACTTCAATAAAAAAGAGTCATGTATACACCTTCTATGCATGATAATGTCTCAATATTGAATAGGTACAATCTAATTTTTAGAGGGCAAGATCTAAGTATTAGAAAACTCAAAATTTAATTATTACTTTTTAAATCATAATCTACAAAATTTTTAGGTGGTTCCCAAAATTATAGAATGAAAAAATCCTCCCAACAAGGTGTTCAAACTGAGGGAGTAGATGTACACCATGCTATCGTGGGAGCATAATATATACGTAATGTTCATACATGGTGTTTTTCTCGGTGGAAAAAATAAACCCAACAAAGTTATATTAGTAATTGTCAAAAGGTTATGAGGGCATATACTATGCTCCAAATATTTACTTAGGAGAATTTTTTTAGTCTAAAATTTTGAGAAACACATAATAGTTACTAGATTATTTTTAATTTAAATTTTAAATATTATGATACTTAGATCTTCAAAAATTGGATGATCTCTATTCAATCTTGAGGCATATGCTTTTTCGAGAACAAAGAGAGTTTATTTTGAAAAGGTTTTTTGACGAGACTATTATATGGGTTATAAAGATTACATTCCAAAATTTGCTATCTAAAAAAAAGTATCCATAGAATGTGTTTTGTCTTAGGGAGGAAATTGACAGAATTTACCTTAGGGATGATGAAATCTTTAGCAAATATTATAAGGGAAACTCCCATATTTTTCCTACAGTGTATAAGTTATATACTTTCCCATCCCATACAACTATCCAATTTAGATCAAGTGAGCCACATACCGTTTGATCTAGACCTGACGCCTCAAAGTATTTTATTTTTAATTTCTTCTACAAATCATATAAATATGAAATTTGGTATGTATCATCTCAATAGGATGCACCTCAAAAAAATTGAAAATATTTTTGAAAAATTAAAAGATCAAAATACCCCTAAAAGTTTTAGGGGTATTTTGGTCATTTTATTTTATCAAAAATATTTTTAAAATGTTATTTGCAGGTGCGAGTTTAAGAGAGGAATGGACTCCCAAAATTAGGTGTGAAAATGTTTTATGGATATAAAACTAAAAATAAAACAATGTAGAGGAGTGGCATTGTAATTAGGTCTAACTCAGTTGTTCATCCAGATTGGATGGTTGGATAGGGGGAAGTATATAATTTATATACACTGGGGAAAATATATAGTTTACATACACTAGGGGAAGTATAAAAAGATTTCTCACTATTATATGTTTGCTAGTATATTTGCTCCCAAAAATAAAAACTCAATCTAGGAGCATGGTTAGGATCCCAAATTTCAGAATTGCAACCTTCCCAACCTAATCGGGTAGGGGGCTTTCTCCCCCACTGAGTTACCCAAAAAAAACGATCAACGTCACTGGCATATGTTTGATTGATTTTAGCAATCTTCATACACATAAATTATGTGTTTTGATTTTTGAGACATGTAGAAAGGTTTCTCATATGTGATTTATTTGTCTCTTTGCTTATGTATTGCTACGTAAAAACATAAATGTGAGCCACAACTTGTCACTGAGGTTTAGATGTGTAGTTAATATAAGAAAAAAATCTATTAAATGGCCAAACCACTTTACAAAACTATTGAAATTATTATTTAAGTTTCATTGCATCCAAAGATGTTTTTAAAAATGTTATAAAAATGATTAAATTGTCTTTATTCAGGATTAAGAATCTCGATCAAATAATGATATTTTAGTATTTAACCCTACTCAAGTGGCGTGAGCCAAATGATGTTAATATTCTTGAATGCTCATGATCAGGAAAACGGTGTTGCTAACCTTGAACAACTGTAGTATCATATAATTTTACCCCCTCCATTTAATCAAAATTACCAAATGCCCTGACCTTTAAAAGGCCCCCTATTTTCACATATTTTATATAAGGAGATATCTGAATGATATAAAACCTAAAAAGCAACCACGTTGACGTTGAGGAGGATGATTTGACTACCTTGATAATTGTATTAACTATTTTAATTATTTAAATAATCTTTTTCCTACAGTAAAATTTATAAAAGAGGCTTCTAATACATTCCCCTATCTATGAGCTCTTATTGCAAGAACTAAAAATCAGACTTAAGTGGCTGTTTGAGTGTACCTTGCATGTATATTATCGCTAGCATCAAATGCGATTAAGATCGAAATTGTTTTTACTCTAAAGCAGGTAAAACATGTTTAGGGCTTTTGCGTTTCATCACTCTTTAAATAAGCAGGGCTTAGGAAGTGACATAAAACATACATGATACTATAGTTTTTTTTTTTTTTCTCTTAAGGTAACTCAGTGGAGAAGACAAACCCCTACCCGTTTTTTTTTCAAATACGTTAGGAGTTAGCTTTTTGAAATTATCAAAGAGTGGTGTCAGTAGGATGAAAACGACAACGTAACAACTAGGTATGGGGGTGCTACCTCCACGACCCAACCCCTTCCCAATAGTTTTTGCACTCCCGAGTTACAAAGCATGATTATATGTGTAGTGATACATACAAACATAACCTTCAAAAAATAAACCAGTGGGCTCTCTCTCCCTCCTTTCCTTTTTTGGACTTAACCCTCCTCCCTACATGAGTGAGCATTTGGCACGTGCCTTCATACAATAAATAAATGGCTAGTGGCCAAAAAAAACCCTCACCTCTTGTCTTTAAAATATAAATTGCAAGAAAATTCTTATGAATACAAAGGACAAATGACCTAAAAATAAGAAAGGGAAAGAGCATCTCTTTCTTCTCTCTCCTCAAGCATTTCTCTCTCTAAAAATAGTAAATGTACCTCTTGTGCACTCTTTCTCTCACACTTTCATGCTTATCCATAGCCTCACACTTACAAGAGCAATATCTTTTGAAAAATAAAGAAAAAAAAATGAAAAACTCTTAAAAATGCTAAAAGAATCCTAGGATTAGTAAAAGTGAAAATTACCAGCAGGCCCAAATTATTATCATATAAATACAAGGATTACCTATTTAGGAAAATAATCAAATTGGCCCATTAATTAACATTAACACAATGTCTATATTCATTGGTGGATTTAAGTGCATTGCATTTAGACATGCAGTGAGAGATAGAGGAGTAATAAGAAATCTTAAATTTGGTAAATTATTTTTAGAGTGTGAAATTTTCATAGTAAATATTATATGTTAAATATTTTTTAAAAAAGAGGAAAAGGAGTCACGGATGAAATTTAACGGGATTAAACTTTACGTTTTAAAAATATCATTTCTTAAATACGATTTTATATCTAGACTGGAAAATGATAAGAATATTAGAATTGACACAACTTAAAAATATTACTCAATAGTAATCTTTTAAAGTACATATCTTGATACTTAAAACTATAAAATCTTCTAAAAGTTTTAAATAAATAAAGCTAGTGTCCTTTTATGTAGTCAATATAGTATAATTATCTTTTACAATATTTAAAATTTTATATTTATTCTCATTAATTATAACAAGCATACTAAAAGAAATTGCTTTATAATGACACGCTATTAACTAGTATTATAAGTATACTTATCATAGTTATATTTTTATTTAGGATAATAATAAGGGAAAATTACAAAAGCCCACATGATGCAACTTTCTTTATATTTTTTCCCCATCCAATTTTTTTGATGGCAACTTTTACCCTAAAGGACCCTCAAGTCAAAATCATAGTTTGGAAGATGAAAATACTTTTGTCCGTACATGAAGCCATCACATCACATATTACTGTCGGATTGGAACCCATACCAAAAATTGCCGAAACGCCTTTTCAAAAAGAGTATACCAAGTGTTGGACCGAGGCACCTAGAATTCACTGTACATGCCCCCTTCCCATAAAATTTCAAATTCAATTTATAGGATTTGCTTTGATTAAAAATAGAAAGATCCTAATTCCCCTTGTATTTCTAGGACACCTGCCCTACAGTCTCGAACTGGTCACTTCTTATTCTTGTGTCATTTGTCCATTTATTATCTGCGATCTGGTGTATGTACAAAGTTCATAAAAACGGCTACGATGACAATAAATAGATAATTCTATAACAACTTTGAGTTTGGTTTCCTTTCAGCAGAAGAGGCCGGGGCGTTCGAGTTTTACATTTCGCATAAGAGGCCGGAGCGTTCGAGTTTTACATTTCGGCCGATTCTCGATTGGACATAACCAACATTTTATAATATATGAGGTAATACTGCCCTAAAGATATAAAAATTTATCAAAAAGGCTTTTGTTTCTTAAAAAATAAAAAATAAAAAGGTCAAACAGACGTTTTCCTCACAACGTAAAAATTTATCAGTCTATTGAATTTTATTATTTTTAATATTCAATTTTAAATATATCAAAGTCTTCCATGAATGAGCTGAATTTATTTCCCAGCCAAACCAAAAAAGCCTTCGAAAGATTGTAAATAAAGTCCTCGTCAAAGATTGTATCTAAGGGCATTTTGGTCAAATAAAAAATTATCCAATGGGCTTTATATCAGTTTGCAGGAATCAATTTTTTCTTTGTCATTGACAAAGGTGGTGCCGTTTGTATCTAAACAATCAAATTAGAACCTACCTTCAAATAGTATCAAGAAATGTGGTTTCAACATTAAAAATCTTTATGATAGCCTTAAAATATATTTTCATATTTATTTGTAAAGTTTAAAGTTTCAAAAATAGTGCTGATCCACATATCTATAAAAACTTGAAAATCTTGAAAATTGATGGTCCAAAAATACATTACAAAATACACTATTTTTAAAACTTGAAATCTATTTTTTCTCATGTTCATCATCTTGATGTTGAGATGATCAATTTGAAGACATTTGGGTATCAAAACAATATCTTTTAATGAAATTTTTGAGGTAGGCTCTAATTTGATTGTTTAGAGCCTCGGCTCTATATAAACTTTTCCCTTAACGAAAAATAGTGCTTGCTCTTTTTTAATTCTACAAAATTGGGTAGAAACTGTGATTTTCAGGTCTTAACCATGGTTAGTTTCATTGTACAGAATTGGACCAACCATGGTTAGCAGGGTGGTTGGTTTTTCACCCAACTATAAATACTCAAAGCGTGATCAACGATGGTCATAAAATTGCAGGCGTTTAGCTTCGAGTTTATTTTTTTAAAGAAATTTTTTTTCCTAATTTTTGGATTTCTTTTATTTGTTCGATCCATGAAATATAGCTCAAAGCTGGTAAGTACCAATCCCTGATCATGGACAAAACAATTTTATTGATAAATTTCTATTCATACTTCGTTAAAGTTCTTCCTGTGTTTATTGATTTTGATCGGATTGTTCGAGTTTATACTGAAAATGGATGTTGGATTTTTTTTGCAGTGATAATTTTATGCTGAAATCAGTTTATTTGGACCTTTTTCATGAAGATTTTTGATAATAGTTATTGGTTGTAAGTGAATATGTTTGATTATGAAAAAAGTATTCATGCTTTTGGTTTAATCGTTCACTTCCATTGTTTAATCTCTTTATTTTCTTCTTGCTTTTTTTTTTATGCTCATCACGGATTATTGTGAGTAATTATTGATGATTTTAGTGGATTCATTTGTTTCAAGTTATGTTTGGTTGATCATTAGATTAGAATTGGCTATTGATTTCGTAAATTTCTGATATCCGATTTTGTGCTTAACGTGTGTTCTGATAAACATTATTGGTTCTCTGTTCATCTGTAATGTGTCTTGAATCTTGATGATGAAAAAGCTTGAAGCATTGGTTAAAAAATTATTGGGAATATTCAGTAGATTGTTCTTTTCACTGGAAAATAATATGAACAGATTGGATTGGTTTCTACTCTTTGTTGTAATGCTGATTTCTGAGTTTCTCAGCTCCCTTTGGTATATTTTTATTTATTTTTACCATAATGTAGGTATTGGGTCCAATATTTATGTGGGAACCAGGGTTCACTTGGGTTATTTTTCATTGGCGATGCTATTCTCTCTCTCTTTCCCTGTGCATGCATCTGTTTGCTACTATTATCCTCATTTGTATTGCTTTTTCTGTTGGTTTTATTGCTTTGGTGTCAATGAATACATTCCATCGGTTAATCAGCTGGAAATTGGGTCTGGATTTCATTCATTGTTTTCGTGCTGAGATCTATCAAATTTTTTTTTTTTTGAGGGACTACTTTGTGCTATGTTCTTGATTGTTGAAGAAGTGGCAGTAATCGAGTTGCATTTATTCTCTACAAATTATTTATAGTTAACTCATAATGTATTTGGAATTATGGATCCTTGGGTTCAATTTTGGACACTTGGATTGATTTCTATTCTGACTTTTTGCTAATTCACATCTATCTGGTTTTATTTTTTTATTTTTTTTCCCCTTCCATAGTTTCGGAATAAGCTGATAGCTGATGATTTTATCTGTTATATTGACTCTAAATTGGGAATGCTATGGATTTCCAGTCTTACTGTATGTTGATTTCTCCCTTTGTTTTTTTTTATTTGAAAATTGACTATACTCTACTTATTTGAAACTGACCCCAGAAATTACACTGAGAAGCATGTTGCTCTATATTTTTATCTCTTGCCATTCTTGGCCCACTATTCTTTAAAGCATGGCACCATGATTACACTGATTGTATTGATAACAGAACTCCTGGATCAAGTTATCCTTCTCACATGTGATTAACTTGTGATTGTGGGTTCATCATGTGGTATTTATATCAAAGATAATAATAACCAAGGAACCAGATTTGTTACCCATAGAAGAACATATTGACTTGATTTCTGTTCTCTGCTTGAAATGGATTTCTTGATTGGATTGCTTAGTTTCAGATATTGATTGATTCAATGACCTTGCGTAACCTATTAATAACTGGGAAAACACTCTTGTAATTTGCATTGTAATTGCGATATTCTGTTTTTGATCACTTTCAATTTGTTCATGAAGGGGTGGTGAGGACTGTTGAGGACACCCAGTCCTAAACTTGGAAGTATACAGTAATATTTGGGAAGTCTACCAAACTTGAAAATGGCTGCATTGGTTGCTAGAGGTAGTCAATTTTCTTCATCGATATCAGTTCAGGACAAGGGAAGCAGGAATAAGAGAAAGTTTCGAGCCGATCCCCCTCTCATTTCCTGCACGGACTGCCCTTCTTCACAAGCTGAGTGCCCCAAGTATGAGTTTCTAGTCAACCAAAACCTTAACAATCCTCTCTTTGAGAAAAATGCTTCCTGTGATTTTTGCAATTTTAACCAGTGCCAACTTGAATCAACAAGCTGCCCCTCCCAAATCTTTGATTCTAGCTCTGCTATCCAGGGTTCCACCATGGACTACGGAGGTCATTTGCAGCCTCCAATCCATGGAGATGAACATGAAGTTGTGGAACTTCAAGATGCCGATTGGAATGATATCACAGAGGGGCATTTAGAGGAACTGGTCTTGGGTAATCTCGACACAATATATCGAAGTGCTATAAAGAAGATTGTAGCGTGCGGGTTCACTGAAGAAGTTGCAACTAGAGCTGTTTTAAGATATGGGCGTTGCTATGGCCCCAAAGACACTGTTTCCAATATCGTTGACAATACGCTCGCTTTCCTGAGAAATGAACAAGAAAATGATCCTAAAGACCCATTTTTTGAGGATTTGCAGCAATTGGAGAAGTACATATTGGCTGAGATGGTTTGTGTTCTCCGAGAGGTGAGGCCATTTTTCAGCACTGGGGATGCGATGTGGTGCTTGCTCATTTGTGACATGAATGTGGATCATGCCTGTGCAATGGATGGAGATGCCTTGGATGGTTTTGGAAATGATGGATTATCAGAGAATCCTTCAGGTTCAACTTCATCACAATCAAAGCCTGAAACAAATGATCTTGAATCAGTAGGACTGAATAATCTAAACCCAAATCAATCAAACCCTGGGGTTGAGGATGCACAAGCATCTCAACCCACTTTGCCAGTTGTTACGGGGATACCGAATTTGCCCTCAGGAAGGATTTCTTTTTCGAGCAATGCTTCATCAAATTTGGGCGGCATGAAAAGCCCACGTGCTATTGAAGCTTTAGATACGGAGAATACAAATTCTTGCTGCAGTCAAGCACCTCGGAAACTAAAAAGTGAGTCTGAAGATTGCAAGAGGTCGCAATCATTTAGAGACGAAGAGAAGGTCTCATCAGAACCAACTCGTTTGGAGACAATCAGAAGGACCCATATAAATAGTTTAAAAGTTCTTAGGCAGAAGTCATCTGCTCTAGTGGAAAGAAGCAATCGAACAAACGGGCCTCGATTGTCGCTTAAAAAGGGAAAAGCTTCTATTTCAAGTGAGGGCAGGACCTTTAGTTCAAGTGATTCCATTTCAGAAAGGAAATCCACTACTTCAAGGGATACTTCTTTTCGACCCAATAATTCCATCACTTTAGAAACAAATTCAACAAAAGTGGAAGGTGCATCCTGTTTTCCTCTTGATAAGACTGATCTTTCTCTTTCTGTATTGTCAAAAAATAGGGAAACGTGTGAGCTTAATTGTCATACAAGTAAAAACAATGACTCAGATTCAAATTATTATTATCCAAATATTGGACCAGACCAAATGTTGAGGAACCCAAATGACAAGAAGGATGAGTTAATCATTAAAATGGTTCAGCGAGTGAGGGAACTTCAAGGCCAACTACAAGAGTGGACAGAGTGGGCTCAGCAGAAGGTGATGCAGGCTGCTCGTAGGCTTAGCAAAGACAAGGCCGAGCTTAAATCTCTCAGGCAAGAGAAAGAAGAAGCAGCTCGCCTAAAGAGAGACAAGCAAACTTTGGAAGAGAACACCATGAAGAAGCTCTCAGAGATGGAGAATGCGTTGTGTAAGGCTGGTGGTCAGGTTGAGAGGGCCAATGCAGCGGTTAGGAGGCTAGAAGTGGAGAATAAAGAGTTGAGGCAGGAAATGGAGTCAGCCAAGTTGAGAGCAGCAGAGTCAGCAGCTAGTTGTCAGGAAGTTTCTAGAAGGGAGCAAAGGACCCTGAAGAAGTTTCAGACATGGGAGAGGCAGAAGGCCTTGTTTCAAGAGGAACTTGCAACTGAGAAGAAAAAACTTTCTCTGTTGCAACAGCAATTGGTTCAAGCTAAGGAGTTTCAGGCACAGCTAGAGGTAAGTGGTGCTCCTTTATGTGTTCAACTTTTCATATTACACTAGAGATTGCATTTTCAGAAACACCAAAAAAACATGAATAAATGAAGCATGCATCCAATGAATTGATCAAAGAGAAAGTAGAATATTTTATCAAATATTGAGCGCAAGGCATGAAATAAATGAAAGTGAAAGATATTTGTAGCAAGTAATTTCACAAATACTAGTCGTGATTGACAAATTATCATTATGTGTATTCCTTTCATATTTTGAATATACCAATCAATAAGCGTAATCAATTGCACAAGGGGTGTGCTAGTCATACTAAAAGTATGATGGCTGGTTATAGTTGTTTTTAAAAAGATTGTAGCTTTTTGGGGATTTGTAGGTAGTGAAAGAAAAAGTTTAACAAAAGATTGTTTTCAGGAGTATGGGATAGCTTGACTTATAAATTATGAGAATGATGTGCGATTCAAACTGGATGAAATAGCTTTATGGTTATTTCAGAGGATGCTTGAGAGATAAATAACTCCGGCTATGAAAATAATGGAATTTACAGAGTACAATCATAACAAAAGTTTGTAAGATACAATATATTAAATATTGTTCTTAAAACATTTTGGTGTAAAACTTTAGAAGAATATGTATATGAAGTAATATTATTCTTGAAACATCGTGGTGTAAATCTTTTGAAGAAATGTCTGTATGAAGATTATCTCAATTTAGGTCAGAACATAGAGCCAGAATTAGAGAAAACAGCAACTTGTTATTTTGGCATTTAGAAATATTGGTCAACTGAAATACAGGGGAGGTGGAAACAAGAAGAGAAGGCCAAAGAAGAGGCTCTCATGAGGGTCAAATGCGAGAGAGAAGAACTAGAGCGGCTCGAGGCAATAGCAAAAACGAAGGAAGATCAGATACGATCGAAAGCAGAGAGCGATTTCCAAAGTTATCGAGATGATATTCAGAGGCTTGAGCGTGAAATTGCTGAATTGAGACTGCAGACTGACTCCTCAAAAATTGCAGCTCTCAGGTGGGGTATAGACCGTAGCTTTTCTTCAAAGTGGACAGAGAGTTGTGGCACTCAAGTCTCCAAAGAGGCCAGTTCACACATTCTTACTGAGATAGCAAATTATAATGTCTCCCCAATTGGTGATATTCAGCAAGAGAGAGAATGTGTTATGTGCTTGACAGAGGAGATGTCAGTTGTGTTCCTTCCTTGTGCACACCAAGTTGTGTGCACAAAGTGCAATGAACTCCATGAGAAACAGGGGATGAAGGACTGCCCCTCTTGTAGGACTCCTATCCTTAGGCGGCTTTGTGTGCGCTCTGCCGACTCCTGATATGGCTCTCTGCTGTTAAACTTGGTTGAGGACAAAAAAATTTTAAATAATGGTTCATTGGTAGATTGAATTTGGAAGTGAATAATGCACCTGAGATATTGTGTTTGGTGCTTGAACTCTCATTCGCCTGGCCAGTTGTTTGTTAATGTGTGTTTCCTGGGTTATCTCCTTAATACTTCACAATTCAATATTCCATACACTCTTCATATTTCTCATTTTTTTTTTTTTTTTGCATGGTTTCTTTTATTGAAAGATTCGATGTTAGTTGTTGCTTGTGATGTGGAAATTGATCGTGCAGGTGCATGTACACAGACAAAAGACCATAGATGTGTGTATCTACATTTTTCATAATTAATATGGGGGGAAAACTGAGTTCCATGCTTTTTATATGCTGCAACTTGTACCCTTTCTGGAATTCATGTGGATTAACTGAAAAGGCTAACAAAACTTAGAATCAAGGTCTCATACTCATCTCTACAAATATTTTTCACCATACTTTGAAGTATATATTATCCAAAAGAGTAGGAGTGGTCCTTTTGTGGATACCGTGGTGACATCTTATTCGGATGATTCTAATTTCCAGATAAGAGCATATCGATCTTTTCAAACAAGCACTTCTAGAGACAACATTATGTAAATTTTCAGGAGATTTTATAGCACTACTGTTATTATCCTTGAACATCTCTTAATTGCTCTTAAGATGGACAATTTCCAGATTAGCTGTGACAAATTTTATTTATTTTTTGATGCTTGCTGTGACAATTTTTAATATGCTCATGTTGAGTGTCTTTTGTACTCATCAAGTCTACTGCCTTAGCTGTGACAGTTTTTAATATGTTCATGTTGAGTGTCTTTTGTGCTCATCAAGTCTACTGCCTCCATGTTTTAGGTCCTGCAAGCCTTCCAATGTTATCTGCCCATTATTGTTTCTTGAGCCTCTTGATTTGATGTTCTTGTCAATGTGATTTAGCACTGACATTGTTCATGTCTCTTGATCTCAAAATTACATTTTCTTCTCAGCAGACAATATTAAGAAGGATTAGTTCAAGTAGTGTGAAAACCAACAACCAGTTGTGTAGATCTTGCCTGTAGAACTGATTAAATTGAATTTTTATGTATGCTCGACATGAAATCTATTCCCTTGATGTGGTTAGGTGTGAGTTCTTTAGGCAATCAGAGGCATGTGTGATTGAGGTGACCCCTTTATATCATCAGATGCTCGAGATTAGATGGAATCTTTAGGAAATGGGAGAGGTTGCCCAATTGGGGACATTATGACAGTTCTAGTATCTTTTTAGCTGGGTTAACTCTATAATGGAAAGCTTAGGTAATGAAGTGGGAGCAAGGAGCTTGAAGGTGCATATTTCTATTTCTTGACCTCATAGTGGTGCAATTAGATTGATGTAAGGGTGCCATCTCTGTGTCCTTAGATGCCTTTTTCTTTGTCGTCAGTGAAATCCTTGATGCATTCAATGAGATGGCGAAGCAGCATCAAGCATGCAGCTGAGCAGGCCAAGAGGAGAAGGAGAATCCCTAATTGAGAGAGAAGGTTCCAGTAAGCCTTCTACCGAGCTAAACCTTCTCCTGAGAAAGGGATTCTGCCTCAAGTATTGCTTCTTTGAGTGCAGGGAAATGAGAGAGAAAATGTCTCCAAGATTGTAGCTGATATGCAGTGATAAGTTGTGCCTTATAATGTACAATATGGTTCCACTTAATGATGCTAACTGTAAACCTTCCATAATCAAGGAATACCAGAAAAAGTGGAAGAAGACTTCAAGACATGTCAGCATTTTAAGGATTAGGTTCAGACTCTAAGGTACTTTGACATTGTCTGATCTCCTTGTCTTCTCAATAATGTTCTTGTGTTAATGCATTTCCTGACTGGCTTGATGTGTTGTGCATTATATTATGCAATTTTTGATTCTTTTGCCTATATGACATTTAACGTACTTAAATATTGAATTAGCACATCGAGTTTGATTCTTCTTGTTCTAATGTGCCATTACCTTGCTTAAATTATTGACTTTATCCTTCAGGGTTTGTGCTGGTCTTAAGAAGGGTGAGGACATTAAACTTTTCCTTAACTAGTCCCAAGCCTTGGGTAAAAGAGGTAGGTTGTGGTAGGCACACAAACGTAAAACTCTGCCAAAACGTTTCCATGAATCGAGTCATTGATTGAGAAGTTTAGGATGAAGTGGGAAGACCTCCACATGGTCTTTATTGATCTAGACAAAACTTATTATGGAGGATCTCGATATTTGATTTGGTGCGTGTTGGAAAAGAGAGTCTCCAGACACTATATTTACTTCGTGAGAGATATGTACAAAGGAGCGCCAACTAGTGTGAATAGCTAGTGGAGAGAGGAGTGAGTTTTCATAGACAGTAGGTCTACAATTTGGGATCAACATTGAGCCCATACTTCTTTGTCTTAGTTATGGACGACTTAATTAGGCACCTACAATATGAGATAGCGTAGTGTATGTTTTTTGCGGATGATATAGTTTTGATCGATAAGATCCGAAACGGTGTCAACACATAGTTAGAACTTTAGAGGGATGCTCTAAAATTTAAAGGTTTTAAAATTAGCTGGACTAAGATATAGTATATGAAATATAAGTTTAATAATAATAGGAGTACAGATGGTGAAGTGGTTAATATTGACAGTCAAGAAATACCATAAAGATTGCATTTTCAATATCTTGGATAGATAATTTAGTGAAGAAGATGCCGCACTTGGAATTAAAGCTAGGTGGAAGAAGTGGAAATGTGCAACTAGAGTTTTATGTGATCGTCACATACCAATGAAATTGAAGGGCAAGTTCTATAAGACAACTATGAGACCAGTTTTGCTTTATGTGGTGGAATGTTGGGTGGTTTAGAAACAACGTACCCATAGAATGAATGTAGTTGAGGTGGATGAGTGGCAAGGCAAGAAGGGATAAAATTCAAAACGAATACATTCGGGAGAATTTAGGTGGCACCAATAGGTGATAAGATGAGAGAAAGTAGACTATATGCAACGCAGATCCAGTACAACACTTGTTAGGAGGTGTGATTTAGTTCACGTGGAAGGCTAAAAAAAGGAAGGGCTAGGCCCACAAAGACATGATTGAAAATATTGAAAAAAAAGAAGAAGACTTATGGCTTGACTGAAGGTATGACTCTTAATAGAGAAGAATGGCAGGATAAGATTCATATTGTCGACCCCAATTAGTTGGCAAAAGGCTCCGATGATAATGATGATCATTCAGGGTTTGTGTGCAATGTGCCTTGCATATATGGAAAAAGTTATAAGATTTCAACCCTATACTATTGAAATACCAATTAATCATCTCGACCTCGAGACGCATCAATATGAAAAAATAATAATTTTAAGTTATAACAATAGTACATCATGTAATAAGTTATCGAGACTGTTTATTTTCAAGATTTTCAAGTGTTTATAAATATGTTTAATCTGTATCATTTTTAGAATTTTAAATCTTATAATTATGAAGGAAAGTAGATTTTCAAACCATCATAGGGTTTTTGACACTATAACATCTCTAGGCAAAATTTAGAGGTGTGCCTTACGTCTTCGAGGGCACATTATCCAAAAGAAAAAGTCTATGTAAGGGTGGGGCCCTAAACAATCAAATTAGGGCTCACTTAAAAATTTCACTAAAATAAGTTGTTTTGATGCTAAAAAATTTCCAAATTGATCATCTCGACTTTAAGATATATAGACACGAGAAAAAATGGATTTCAAGTCTTGGCATTTCAAACCGTCAATTTTTAAGTTTTTCAAGTGTTCCTGTATCTGCTCGATCTACTCTATTTTTTAATCTTTAAGTTTTATAAATAGAGATCAAAATAAATTTCAAGCCATCACAAGTATTAAAACAACATCTTTGGACAAATTGGAAGTGCGAGCCTTTGCCTTATAGAAACCACACACCCTTATCTAAAACTATATACAAGGTTGCCACCACACCCTATGTGTGTGTAAAAAAATAAACTTCACATCACCATTGCCATATGTGTGTACCAAAAAGTAAACTTCACATCACCATTGCCGTTGGATGTCAAACTTTGAGCAAAGAATGATCCCTGCAGGGACATCTGTGCTCTGTCAATGAATACATTTCATGTTTCATATATTGTAACTATGAAATTTCTGCTCTATTCAGCTGCATGATATGTTCATTAAAGTTTTGTTCTTTAAATCCTGTCTTTTTTTTTGGGTAAGTCGAAAGTGGCAAGTCAGTAGGGATTTAGGTTCCTATCTTATGGTGATAATAGAGTCAGAGACCTCACCATAGGCCTCAGCAATACTGCTGCAAAGGCCTTAGGCCGTTATCAAAAAGTGGTATGTCTTGGGCCCTTACCTTTTGGTGAGAATAGAGTCAAACCTCCTCATAGGGCTCGACAATCCTACTGCCAAAGCCTCAAGGCCATTTTCAAAAGTGTAGAATCCACTGAAGTAGGGTTTTGGCATTAGTGACTGCAAGGACTTAGGCTTTGGCTTAGCGGTAGACTTATCAGTTTGGGTGAGGGAGGCCAAGGGTCCGAATTCGGAGAGTTCGGCCTAAAAAGCAACCAATCTTACCTATCCTTTTTCCGCTTTTTACGAATCGAACTTATGCTTGATTGGTTAAGGTGTTCACGATTGCAACGCTTTTTCCCAAACTTCGATAGATACCTACCGATGCAAAAACAGAATACGACGAAAGAACCCCCTAACAAGAGTTTGCCAACAATGGGGGGAATAACAGTGGGTGCTTGTATTTGGCTCCAGCAGCATTATCTCTTTAGAGTTAAGATTTATTTGAAATATAAATGGTGCCTGCCTATGTGCATAGATTTTTAGATGTAAAATCAGAGGGCTCGCATATGTCCATTATCCACATGAAGGTTGAGCAAAGTTTTTTCGGATTTTGAGTACATGAAAGCCAACAACTTTGGCTATTTTTTTACTTAGGCAACTGATTGAGAAGTTTATAACCAAGAGAAAAGACCTCCACATTTAGAGAAAGCTTATGATAGAGTTCCTCGATATTTGATTTGGCAGGAATTAGAAAAAAAATGGGTCTCTAGACACCACATTGACTTGACGAGAGACATGTACGATGGAACGTTAACTAGTGTACGAACAACTAGTGGAGTGACGAGTGAGTTTTTAGTGACAATAGGTTTACATCAAGGGCTAGCATTAAGCATGTACCTCTTTGTATTATTTATGTATGACTTAACTGGGCACCTAGTGGTTGAGGTACCATGATGCATGTTGTTCGCAGATGACATAATTCTGATTGATTAGATTTGAAATGACGTCAACATAAAGTTAGAACTTTGAAAGGATGCTCTAGAATCCAAAAGTTTTTAATTAGTCGGGACAAAGACAGAGTATATGGAGTGCAACTTTAATAATAATCAGAGCAGTATAAAAAAGATTGCACTTTCGATATCTTGGGTCAATAATCCAAGAAAACGGAGAGATCGATGAAGATGTCGCACACAGAAGTAGAGCTGGGTGGGCGAAGTGGAGATGTACAACTGCGATTTTATGTGATCTTTGCATACCAATGAGGTTGAAAGGCAAGTTCTATAGGACAACGGTGAGATTAGCTTTACTCTCTGGGGCAAAATTTTGGGCGGACAAGAAACAATATACCTATAGAATGAGTGTAGAGGGGATGGGGATGTTGATATGGATGAGTGGCAAGACAAGAAGTGATAGAATTCGAAATGATTCTATTAGAGAGAATTTAGACGTGACACCAATAGACAATAAAATGAGAGAGCAGAATTAGGTGGGCTGACTATATGTAGCACCGACCAAGTACAACATCTGTTAGGAGGTGCGCGTTAGTTCAAGTAGAAGGACTGAAAAGGGCAAGGGGCAGGCCCAAAAAGATTTGGTTGGAAGGAGTTCGAAACGATATGGGGACTTTTGGCATCACTGAGGATATGACATTTAATTGAACAGAATGAAAAACTAGGATTCATATAACCGACCCCAATTAATTGAGAAAAAACTAAAATGAAAATGATGACGATGATGATGACTTTGAACACAATCAATTTACACCCTAAACCGCCTAATTTCATATATAGGGATTACTCGTGATTGTGAGCTTTTTTTTTTATACAATAATAACTTTTGAGCGTGTACTTTCTTTCTCGTAATGTATTACACCTTTTGCTCTTATGAGCAAAAATGAGGGGAAGACACTCTCTCCCTCAAAATATGCTTATTTGTACGCATGTGCATGCTGATGAACCTACACAATGTCCACACACGCTCAAGAGGTAATTGATATATTGGACGCATATATGAGAAGCTACAAATGATAAATGATTTTATCTAGGGATACTTGGGAAATTATATAATAAGGCTTTTGATCTTTTGCTTGGAAGGGTTATAATCACGAATAGCCGTTAGATCACAATTATATTTAATCATCACAATTATCCTTAGGCATAAGACATAAAGCAGGTGGCTGTGGAATCATCAAATGTGAAATTAGGTGGCTGTGGAATCATTAGATATGAAACTAGGCAGCTGAGGTATATTAAAAAAAATAGGGATTTAAGGGGTGGAGATTTAGGGAAGACATAAAAAAATATTAAATAAGCTTAATATATATATATATTATTTTAAGGGAGGACGCTCTAGCCATGACCCATAGTACCCCATAACATATTTGGTCATGCTAATTACCATCTAAATATGTGACCTAGACTAGAAATTGCCGGGTTTTAAAACACCGGTCCTTAGTACAGAATTTAACAAGAAAGTACTTGTTTGCTTTCTAACTATTTTCTCACTACAAGCCACAAAACCAATAATAATAAAAGGGTGGGTTTCTATGAGGCAGCCTACTCATCCTATGCATAAGCGGGCCCCCACTTAAACTTATCTTAAAAAATGGGATTTTAAATTTTTAGGGATTCGTGATCTAGGTTAAACGAGTAATATAAAATTTTTAAGATATACAACGTGATCTCTTTACAAAAGATTTCTACACCTACTAAATTCATTTAAGACTTTTCACAATAAAAAATAATACCCAAATGGATAGGGACCTGTAGTGTCATTTCGTAATTTTTTGGGGTATTTTGTGCTCACACGCGAATGGTGGAAGGGGGTTGAGATAAGGTGCGCGCCCATGCAACAACCAGTCATGGTTCTGTGCCACGTGTCTGTCCTCCATTGGTTCTCCTTAAAGGTCGGAGAATATTCCAGAACCAACGAGGCTGGCCCACACTAGGGCTCTGCCCTTTCTCCCAAATATTATAAGAAAAGAATTAATTTTACCACGGTCATTAATTTTAAGAAAAGAATTTCGAGCCTTTGAAGTACCTGGTTTTATATTTTTTTCACTGTTCATTTTAATTCTTCAAAGATGAATGCCGTTTCTTGAGTCCCAACTCATGGATTTGTGGTGGAAATGAATTAATTGCAAAAGCTAGGAGCTTTTGGTCGTACAAATATTTGTTATGAATATTATTTGTCTTTCAAATTCCCTTCCATGCTTTTGGGGTGCCACGTGTTATTGGAGGTTTGATTTTTTGAGGGCCCCCTTGTCCGATTAAAACAAATCGTAATCCGATACTGGTCCCGCCTATGCAGCATCCCATAAAAGGTGGGCTAAAAACGGTCCTATCTTTGGCTTATGCACAACCTCCTCAGTCCGACTAATTACCCCAATTGCCATAATAACACTCATTTTGGAGAAAAAACTAGAGTGGTAATTTTTTTTTTTTTGTAGTTTTTAAGTGTATCCAAGGAGGCCCACTAAGTCGACTGTAACAATATCAATTTTCGAGATGTGGATTTTGGATCTAAAATTTATCATTCCAAAAAAAAAAAAAAAAAAAGAATTTTGGATCCAAAATTTTTAAGGTTGTTTGATTACTTTGGTCATGATTATGAAAAAATAATATTTTCAAGTCATATAAATGATTTATGTTGTATTGTTTTTTGGCTATTTATTTTACTTCTTCTCGGCTAGATCATTAAATTTGTGTTATATTTTTAAAGAAAAAAAAAGATCATTAAAGTTTTGTTGTTTTTAGAGCTCCAAATTCATGAATCTGAAAAAGGAGTTTACAGTAATTTGGAAAACCCTCGAGAATGGAATGAGTTGTCGACTAGAAGGCCCAAGCTTTAGTTCTTTTAGAATGATAAACCATTCAAATTTTAATCTTTGGTCATTTTAGTTCAGTTGTAGATTGAAATATTCACATAGTGTTTTTAGAATCCAACCCGACCTGTCGATACAAGGTGATTGGATAGCTGGCTAGACCCAAAACCGGTGTGGTTAAATAAAAGTCTATAAATATAATTTTGATAATTTTTAATGAGAATTTATTGTTCTAGCCGATTTTAATAAACCAAACCGATCTGACGGCTAGTTTGAACCATTGGCTAGACCATGCTAACACTTTTTGTGAGTCATTCTGTGAACCGGTTCTAATAATAACATTGATTCCTAAAAATACGTTTTTGCATCAACCCCTACCAGCCAAGGTGGCTAATATTGTAAATAAAAGTTACATTAAGGTTTGACTTTCCGTTTTTCGTAAAAAAATTTTGTACTCAAGGGTATTTAGGACATTTAGCCAACATAACTCTGCCAATGAGTGATCAGGGGTATATCTGTCTTTTCCCAAGTGAAGGGCAATATGGTAATTTATCAGCCACCAGTACTGTATAAAGCCAGTCTAACGGGGGGGGCGCTATAAGCTTTGGACATCGTTTGCTGAAAACACGTTTTTCCGGTCTCTGCCTCTGCCTCTGCCTCTGCCCCTGCCAGGAAAACTCTCATCTGGGTGCCTGATTGCCAGAGAAATTTCGATGAGGTGCTTCGACTTGAAAACTACTTATTATTGTTTAAGTGCTACGAGGGTCTTTAACAATTGAGATCGACAAAAGGTGGGGTTCATTGATATTTGAGTTTCTCCAGTGGCCTGAAAAAGCAGTACAGGTATGAGGAGAGCGCCTTAATTTGAAAATATAAATTGTTTTGGTTGATTTCTTTATAGATTTTGATGATCGAAATTTTGCCAAAATTAGTAGAAAAATGTGAGTGTGAGAGAGAGAGATTATAATCTCAATGGATGGTTTCAATTTTCACATGAGCAATTTTTTGGGCGTTTGTATTGGAATTATGAAGAGAAGGAGAGAGAGAGAGAGAGCAGCCAAATCGCAATTTGTGGACATAAGCCCTCTCGCGCACTTTTTGAAATTATATATAAAAGCTCCTACGGTGTGGATATTATCAATGTCATTATTCCCCCTCTTCACGATTAATCTTGTCGAAGACTTTGCCTTACCATATTGTTCACACACTTTTCAAGTTCAACTGATATAGAAAAGAAAAAAAAAAATTTGTTATGAAATATGTAGCTCAGGTGCTTTTGGATATTTTGTCTTAAATTCACCGGTACAAAATCAATAAAATTGTACACAATCCTTAGTCATCTCATCCGTGAAGAGAGGTTTTGGTCCCACAAAAATAGTTCATTGGTTTCCCTATTTAAAGACCGAGACTAAAGAGTTGAATTATGTTGGTTTTGTAGAAGCAAATAATTTTTTTTTTTTTTTTTTTATTGTTCATTAAAATGAAAAGAGTATATATTTAGAAATTTGATCAAACAAATGATTCTAGCCGGTGATCCTGATCGAATTGGGTGGGTGAGAAATATGGGTCCCCACACCCCTCCTATGGACGGTGGAGAGTTGGACTTTAATGTATTTGGCATTGGTAGAGGGGTAAGATTTGTATAGAGACTCACAACCTTTATTAAAAAAAGAAAGAAAAAAATTTAGAGAGAGAGAGGATATTTCTAGAGAGAGAGTATAGATAAAGGTTGTTAACTCATTTTTTGTGGACATAAAGAGTCTAGAGATAAAAGAAGGTGGTATGGGCACGCGTATCAAGAGATTTCTGGGTTTATTCACGGGCGGTGAGATTTGAAATCAAGTGGCTAAGGATGTATCATTTTCCGGGCAAAAAGCTTGAAAAACCTCACATCAAACTTTGTGCAAAGAATGACATTTTTATCATCTGATTTTAGTATTTTAAATTTGACGGCTTGCGATGTTTGTGTCCTTCGTATATAAAAGGAAACGGTCTCTGGCAGATAATCTCGTCAAGAAAATACATGGCACGTACAACAAAATAAACATATGCATCTGCACTTTCTCAAAATAGAGAAATCAAATGAGCATCTTGTTGAAGAATAGGTTCTAGGCATAGGTGGCCAAGGTGACGGATATTTGAACCTTATGTTTTGAGTTTCATTCACCATGTATAAAAATTAACATCGAAAAAAAAATTTAAAGAAATATAAATAAGATATAAATCATTTTACAAACGCTAAAATTTTATTGGATTACGTAATACTTATATGAACTTGTGAAAGAGATTGTATAAAATGAGATCATTACCTCTAGAGGGGACTCGAAAGCTTAAGAGCCTATGTCCAAAAGTCGGGAAGAGGTTGACCAACTCATTAAAGCAACCAACCTACTATGTGCACACCGGGTATGGTGGGAAGCCTCACATAAACCACAACCGCTCTCAACGAGTCTAATATAAAACGAGGATGGCAGGGGTGTGTGATATCTCTACACAAACGCAAAGAAAATTTTCACGTGATCAATTGTACTCCTGCTACAACTTATTTTTCACGGATAACGATTAATGATGATTATGACGTTTTTGTACCAAATGCATACAATGTTACCATATATTTTTGAAGTATATAATATTCTATGTAGATGGACATCTTTCTAATGGTAAACTCTTCTTATTTTTCTTCCCTCATTAGGGATGCCTTTAACTCCCTTTCACTTATATTTGTGAATTTTCCAACAATAGAGTAAAGATTACTAACATGTCTTTGCTCCCAAACTAGGCAACATGTCTTCATCAATAAAAGGAATGGCTATAAGATCACCTCTTGATGACAAAGTACATGGCTTAGTGAAGAAGAGATACACAGAAGAATTGGGATTTGTTGGGGTGAACCAGCTTGCTGTTCAACTGAATCTACTGGGTTCTTGTTTGGCTCAAAGCAGTAGCTCCTCCAAACCAAACATTAAAGCAATGCCATTGCACAAGAAGAGTTTTTGTCATTGTCAAGTCACAACTCACAGAATTCCAATAACTAAAAAGGTATACAGAGTATTCTCTCTCTACATAAGCGCGCGTGTGCGCGCACAAAATTTTGAGTGCGTGCTGATATGTAGAAATATACAACAGTATAAGCCCAACATCTCATATATATATATAAGGGAAGAAAATGGATTGCCATCTCGAGTTTCTTATTTGAGTTTTAATTTTTAATAATTTTGATATGAAATTTGAGATATCCACACTTATAAAAAACATAAAAAATAAATGGACCAAAATACTGCTGAAAAATCCAAAGGTATTTTGGACAATTTTCTACCACCAACCCACCCTCCCAAAAAAAAGTATTATTTTTATATATATGCATTATACATCATTTTGATCAGCATCTAATTCCTCCAAAAGGAGCAAAATCTATACAAGCACCCACACATTGTGCACCACCAAAGTTAAGTTGAGGTACAACTTTGATTCATATGCAGAGAGTTTTCACCTTTGGCAAAGGAAGGAGCGAAGGGAACAAGACCATGAAATCATTGGTGAGTTTCTTTTCCAATTCCAGCGATGTCAGTAGTGAATTTTTTCATAACAAACAAACTCATGCAACATTCACACACTCCAGCTCCAGTCTTGGTGCCTGAACTTCGCGTTTAGAGATGAAGTTTTGTATCACACCAGTATTGACCAAGGCACGTCCTTATCTCCAATGCAACCTGCTCATGAGCTCCTGATGGCCATGTAATGTAGATACCTGTATCCATGGTTTTTGGGACTGTTGACACACCTGAGGTCTCACCTCATACTTTTTTTAATGATGTACATATGTGTCGTGTCGGAAACGACACTCTTAAAGTTGGCATTTCTAAAGCTCTTAACTGCACTTGATGCTAATATATTTACACATGCCTTTGTAAAATTGACGTACATATATTTTCTCTGAAGAGATTTGGAGTTCTATTAATCACTCTCCCTTTTTGTTTCTCACAGTTGGGTGGGAAAGGTGCAAATCTTGCAGAAATGGCAAGCATTGGTTTATCAGTGCCACCAGGTCTTACAGTTTCAACTGAAGCATGTCAAGAATATCAAGAAAATGGAAAGAAGCTCCCTGAGGGTCTTTGGGATGAGATTCTAGAGGGCCTAAAAACCATTGAAAAGGAAATGGGTGCTTCCCTTGGTGATCCATCCAAACCCCTTCTCCTATCGGTTCGGTCTGGTGCCGCGGTAATGAATTAATTTGAATAACCTATAGAATAATCTTATGGCTAGAATGGTGCAATCAGGTCCTGAAGTAGGAGTTTCTTGAAATAGCCTAAGTGAAAACTATTTAAACCTTATGTTTGAATAACAGTATTAACTACTAAGCATCATGTACCAATCTTTTCCTTAGTTGTGTTTTCATTTACTTTTAGGTAAAAATTTGATTCTAAGCTAGCTTTAGATTTCATGTGTATATAGTCCTCTTTTTCTTTATTGGAGCATGTTGGTTAGCCGACCCCAATTAATTGGGAAAATGCTATGATGATGATGATGATTGTTATGCTTTACTCGTAGATTTCCATGCCTGGCATGATGGACACTGTGCTAAATCTTGGTCTCAATGATGAAGTTGTTGTTGGATTGGCTTCAAAGAGTGGAGAACGATTTGCATATGATTCATATAGACGATTTCTTGACATGTTTGGTAATGTGGTAAGTTTACAAACCGTAATTCAAAGTCTACCTGGATCCATTCTTGAACATGAATTTTGTCTTCCAAACAATGTTTAAAAAGTCGGACTTAGCCTCCAGCTCGCCAGTGGCCGAGCATGAGGCATCTGGCTCGACTCAGGCGCATCTCAAGCAGACCGGGCAATTTTTAATATGAAAAGTTTAAAAGTTTGAAAAAACAGGAGAAACATAAGATTTCATGGTTTCTGAACATGATTCACTTGGCTTCTGATCTGGTTTAACTCAGGTGAGTCCCGATTCAAATTGGCGATTTTTTAAACACTGATTTTGAATAACCAATTTTTATTACCATTAACTAGTGTGACATTTTTTGAGTGAAAGGTCATGGGTATTCCACATTCTCTATTTGAGGAGCAATTGGAAAGACTGAAAGCTGTAAAGGGAGTGTCTCTCGATACTGAATTGACCTCAGAGGATCTTAAAGAATTGGTTACTAAGTACAAGAGGGTATATGTTGATGCTAAAGGGCAAGAGTTCCCTTCAGGTATTTGACATAGAATTTGTCTTCTTTCTATTTTCCTTATTTCTATTACGTGTTATCTCACATGAGCATATTGTTGAATTTACATCAAAACAAGGCTCGAGTTAATTGTGTAAGTCCCTAGAAATAAATAAAAACTAATTGAGCCACAATTAAGGGTGTAGGATACAAGGAGGACCCTATACAGTTTTCGATACAATTCAATATTTGTCTCTTCCTATAATTCAAGATTCACTATTTTTTAAGACTCATATCTTTTTCTCATATCCATACATCTTGACATACATATGATGAACCGAAAGGTTTTCCAGTATTGTAACAACCTTTTCTAATGGCTTTTGAGGTGCGCCTCTCATCTATGGTGTAAAGTTGACAGCTATATAAACTTTCCCCTTTGAAAAATACTTTATTTTTATTCAAACCAGTGTTTCAAAACCTGGCAATTTCCAATAAAGAATAAGAATCGACTAGGACCGAGCAGATTTCGGTAGGGTACCAGTACTGAAACGGTCCCTCTTTAAAACATTTCCTTTCATATATATATATATAATATTTTCCAATGTTTTCCTTAAATTGCCTTACATAAACCTCTATTTTAAAATTTTTATTTTTAAATTTTTTTTAAATCTCCCATTCATACCGATCGGGATCAAGGGTTTGTTGGCACGAATATGTGGAGTGAACGATCCACCCTATCAATCACAATTTTGAAACACTTATTCAAACTAGCTCCATTGAAAACTAATATCTAATCCTATTATTTCAAGATTTTTATTTATCAAAATAAATTTCTAATAGGGTCGAACCTACGCCATCCATGATAAGGTCAGCCCAGCCCCAGCCCCAGCCCCAGCCCCTCTTTTGTATTGCTTTCATTTTTTGTCCACTTTTTATTGTATTTGGGGTTGGCCTAGCCAAGCGTAAGGCTAAGGCTTCTTAGGCCTTGTTAGGGCCAGGCGATGTAGGGCCAAGGCCACAGGTGCCTATTTTTGGGCTGAAAATTTATCAAAATACCTATGAAAGTTGTTTTATTATTTTACCCATTTTGCAAGCATTTCAAGTCATGACGGGGTAATTTAAAATTAAATAAAAGACACAGGTAGAATGCTAAATTATATATTTATCGTGATTATTAATTTATAAATATTGTCCCCGAGCTTCGTCCCAACTATTATTTAGAGTTTCCTAAGTAATTTCTTAAAAACATTTTTAAAAAAAATTACATAAATATCCATTTTATTTTGCGTTATTAGAAATGAATCCAGCACAATGTATTTCCATCTCCCCAATGGTGCAACTTTTTATGAATCTTCATGCTTCTTTAATTCCTTCACCAGAAAGTGAAGCTTTTTCTTTCTTGTTTTCCTTAAAGTGAAGCTTTTTCTTTCTTGTTTTCCTTTTTCAAACGCTGTTTATCGAAAGCTTCATTACTTGTATAATTCAATTCCAAGAAGCAGGCATGTTAATGAAATTTATCTCTCTCTCTTCCCGCTTTGAATTTTGATCATTTTATGACCCACTTTTGATCATATTCTTCTAAATTTAGATCCGAGAAATCAACTGTATGCTGCAGTTTTAGCAGTTTTTGATTCATGGGACAGCACAAGAGCCATAAAATACAGGACCATAAACAGAATAAGTGGGTTAAAAGGAACAGCAGTGAACATTCAATCCATGGTTTTTGGGAATATGGGTAGCACTTCAGGCACTGGTGTTCTCTTCACAAGAAACCCAAGTACTGGGGAAAAGAAGCTCTATGGAGAATTCCTCATCAATGCCCAGGTTCTAATCTAATCTTGCCAAATTTCCTTTGGTTATTGATTTTTGCTCATTGATTCTTAGATATGAGGAGCTTATATTCTTGATATTTTGATGTAATTGATTTTTAGATTTTATTTTCCAATACTATGGAAATGTTACTGTAGTAATTTACATTAAAACTGGACTGATGGTTGCTAAAGTTGGGTTGTACATTCTTTTCAAAATATATAGTAATATTAGCTCATGTTTTCCTTTAGCTATAGGGATCCCTTTATTTGTAATGCCATGCTTATTGGAATCTGGCTTCTTTTTGTGTGTGTGTGTGTGTGTGTGTTTTGTGTAAAAAGCTATGATATTTTAGTAAAGTCTCTGGAAATTTTACATTTGCCCATTTAATCCATAATTCACTGCATTCTTTAAGCTTTTGTAAATTAAATGTTCTTTTGTTTTGTAATAGTTGGTGACATCAGCTTATTTTTGCAAATTCTGTATGCTTTTCTTTGCTTTATCGAGAAATGATGGTTTTCTTAGAGGATGAGCACGTGTGGTTTGAATTTCTTCTTTATTTTAGTTGTGGATATCTAATTATAGTTTTTAAATAACTGTATGTTCCATGTAATGAGGGGTGCAATTTGTATATTTTTTTTATTTGATAGGGGGAGGATGTTGTTGCTGGGATTCGAACACCAGAAGATCTTGACACTATGAAGAACTGTATGCCAGATGCATATAAAGAGCTTGTCGAAAACTGTGAAATACTTGAACGCCATTACAAAGATATGATGGTAACAATGCCTTAATACTATTTTCTCCTTCCTAGTTGGAATTTATGTGTATTTCATTTTGAACGATAAAGATTTGTAAGAACCATGCCAACAGTTTGAGAACTTGTATTTGTAAAAACCCAAAGCCGTTGAGTAATTGTTAAGACCTGATTTGATTCGGTCACAAAATTAATTGTTCTTGTTTTATGAATTTTTAGTTATGTTATTTTACATTTCTAGTGAGATATTTTCATATTTTCAGGACATTGAATTCACTGTTCAAGAAAACAGGCTATGGATGTTACAGTGTAGATCCGGAAAGAGAACTGGTAAGGGTGCAGTGAAGATTGCAGTGGATATGGTGAAGGAGGGCCTTATTGACACTTCTTCAGCCATTAAAATGGTAGAAGCTAGGCATCTAGATCAACTTATGCATCCACAGGTACCATTCTTTCTACTTATTTAACAGTCAGTATGTGATATTTATTGGATTAAGACGTTCAGCCCATGATTAATTGCAACTTTCTCTTGGTGCTAAAAATCTAAATTTGTTTATGTTTTTAGTATTGGAAAATGTTCAAGATTGGTAGTGCTTTTGCAATTTAGTCTCTGAGTTCTGACAGTTGCATTTAAAATTATGTTTACATAAACCAAAAAGAATCAAAACATGTCCTGCAATACTACTGAAACAAACACAAAATTTGGAAGTTTGAAATGGACCTCCCTTTCTAATAGTACCACATTGTCTTGAGCAATGGCGATTGCTGCAGTGTTGATTTCGGCTATCTTTCCCCTTCTTGGTAGGACCATGTGCCCTTTCGAAGTTGTATTCATGCATTGTGTTCGGTTTCTAGTCAGGTTATTTGGAGTTCCATTCGCATTCAGTCATCAATGACCACTTTCTTAAATAATTTATTAATTTTTATTTTTCAATGACAAGAAAATTGTTTACTTCTTCTTTGCTATTTTAATGTACTGATTTAGGATTTGGGTTTTGGCTCGATTGGTTAAGGAGTTGAAGTTGCAGAACTACATCCCAAGTTTGAATCCTGTCCCTTAACTAACCCCACCCCCACCCAAAAAAATACAAAAAATAAAAAAAGGGTAACATTTTAGTTTTATGCTTCAGTTTGAGAATCCATCGGCATTCAAAGAGAAGGTGATTGCTACTGGCCTGCCAGCATCCCCTGGAGCTGCAGTGGGTCAAATTGTGTTTCGCGGTGATGATGCTGAAGCATGGCATGCTCAAGGAAAGCCTGTCATCCTGGTTAGTTGTCATCTGCCTGTTTATAAGTTTCTTGATTTGTATATTAAACCTTTACATGACTGCAAACGTTTATAAGGCCATTTTTCCCTTATTTCCATAATCAGTATCCCTAGGCCACTTTGTTTCCTGCATTGTTTCTCAAATCCTTTTCTTGGATTGGCAAGTATGTCACGCATTTCTGGTATATTACATGGCACCCTTACCGGCAATTTTCAATTAGGCCAGTTTTCTATGATTTGTATGAGTGAACCCTAGTATGTCTCTATACATGTATATTCTTCTATTTTGTGAAAGGGGTGGGTAAGTAATGCTATGAATTTCTAGTTATCACTGTCACCATTACTCCAAAAACCAAAAAGTGTTCATTTCCCCCTTCTGGACATATATTATTTGTTCTCTTATAGCTCAATGATTTGAAGCTTTTCTTTCATTCTTTTGTAACTTATGATTTAGGTTAGGATGGAGACTAGTCCTGAAGATGTTGGTGGTATGCACGCTGCGACTGGCATACTGACTGCAAGAGGTGGCATGACTTCTCATGCTGCTGTGGTTGCTCGAGGATGGGGGAAGTGTTGTGTTTCTGGTTGCTCTGATGTACGTATAAATGAAGCTGAGAAGGTATTGATGCTTTCGCCTTTGACTTGTGGATATATGACAAGGAAAAATATGACTTTTAAAGGACAATTTATGGTTGCTCGAAACTTGCTACTCTTTTTCTAGCTTCTGTAGTAAACCGTATTTGATTAAGTAAACTAAATTGTTGGTGCCATTAATCAAGAAAATAAATGTGGATCATCCATGGGAGAATACTCAATGCCCCAAAAATATAACATGTTATGTATCTTCTTTCTTTGGCTGAATGTGTATTTTGTGATTATTTGGACTCATAATGGTTATACCAGTCATGTTTTTAACTTTTGGACCTCTTATTAGGTAGATCATGAATTGCATTTTTACTATTGAAAACTAGATTTTTTTCTTCCTTGAATTCTTTTATTTTTTTTCTTTACTTGCTAAACATATGAAAAATGATATTTGCAGACGGTCGCAATTGGGTCCCAAGTTCTGAGTGAAGGGGACTGGATATCACTTAATGGGTCTACTGGAGAAGTGATTCTCGGAAAGCAACCCCTCGCTCCTCCTACTCTCACTGGTGACTTAGAATCTTTTATGCATTGGGTGGATGAGAAAAGGAAGCTCAAGGTAATCATCTATGGGTTATGTTAGGGTGCTCACACTATGGAGAATTTATCATTATACTCAACAATTTTGGACACTTCTATACCCTTGTTTTGTACATAGAACTTTTTTTAATAAAGTTATTTTTGGTCAATAGGAGGTGTGTGACATCATCCACATGGGGTGTAATGTCATCGACATGGAGCACATTAGTGTTATTTCATGTTCCATGTGTGTGAAATCACATCCCATGTGGATGACGTCACACTCATCGTAATTACCAGAAATGCCCTTACTAAAGCTCCATTAACAAAACAATGGTATATATGTGTCCAGATTTTGTTGAGTACATTGATAAATTACTCCATAGTGTGAGCACCCTAACATAACCCATAATCTTTTTCTTTTCATATTAAAGTTTAAAGCATTTCTCCTGATGAGTGTTGATTGTGTTATTTTTTAATCTCCCTTGTTGCCTTTTTTCAGTTATTAGTGTTGTTATTATGAGGGAAATTTGGTGAACCCATAACTCGTACAAATCTAGAAAAAAGCTCCCCAACTACTGTTATACACAGACGGATGCTTATCTTCAAAAAATCACAGTTCTGTCCTTAAATTTCTGCCTTAGAAAGGTTTTGCAATAGCTTGATTTTTTTATCATGTAACATTCTCTAATATCAAAAATAAATTTTATAATATTAAAACTGGAAACCATTATTTGAAGTCAAAAGAACAAAAACTCAGACTTTTGGTAAATAATGCTCAGCTAAAACTATCAGCTGACATGCAAGGATAGATTTAGGCTACAATGATTATTATTGTTGATATTAGTAAGTCAGTGTGGTCCATGACCATGGGGGTCTGCCACAGCTGGGAAAGATCCATGGATTTTGAGTCGACACGTATGTCTAATTGCTTGATATGGGCTCCTATCTGAATCAGTTTGATTATGCCATCATGGTTTACGTAAATATGTGCGGGCAAGTGTTAGTCAAGAGGTAGGGGTTCCTTATTGTTGTCTTTCATAATTAATTGTTCCTCATCTTTCAGAAAGATGCTATGTTGTATTTTATCAGTCAATTTGACAATTACTGTCATGACCATGTCTAACGATTGAAAAAGAAAAAAATGTTGACTGCTGGCCATGCTGGATTGCTCCCATTCCTACTGCTACACATTATGCTGTGTGTTTGATTCCTTTCGTCAAATGCCCATATTTTTGAAAGATTATAATACCCCAATTGGATTCACAGTATTGCTTTATATGTCCTTGTCAAACACCCATTTTTTTCTTACAAGGGTTTGTTATTTTGGATTTTACAAACGACTCATCATATGGAAGGATCGTTCCTTGATTTTTCACTTTCTGTTTTTCACCAACAAACAAAAAGCATTAAGAATAGATCTTTTGTTTCATGAAAATGATTTGGGTATCTTTTTCAGTTGAGAGTATTATGGGGGAGACAAATTCTATATGGCCAATGCCTCATAGTTTGTTTCTGAATTACAACTGAATTTTTTGTGGCATACTTCTTTCTTGTTTTTAGCTTGGTTTCTCTCATTTTCTCACACTTACAAATTCTGATATTGGTGATTGAAATTGATTTGACTTGGTTCCTTTTTATGAATTACTTTTAGTTTCCATAATCATATTTTAAGATTGGGAAATTGTGATATTAGGTAATGGCTAATGCTGATACACCTGATGATGCACTTACGGCGAGGAACAATGGTGCGCAAGGCATTGGACTTTGCAGGACAGAGCACATGGTGAGTAGAAACCTTTTGCATATTTTTTATTCCTTAGAAATCAGTGGAAAATGGTTCACTTTGGAAAGTAATTTGTGCATTAGTTTCCCAAGCTTTCATTAGTTATTGTTTTTTTGCAGTTCTTTGCATCAGATGAAAGGATAAAGGCCGTAAGGAAGATGATAATGGCAGTCACTCCTGAGCAACGCAAGGAAGCACTTAATCAGCTGTTGCCTTATCAGAGGTCTGATTTTGAAGGCATTTTCCGTGCAATGGATGGTACATCTTTTCTGCTCTTTTCCAATTAGCTACTGTGCTTTCTTGAAAGTTTTGATGGGGTTGTATGCTAAGCTCATGCATTATGGTTCTTTAACCATGTTACAAGCATATGTGAGGTGGAGAAACCCGAAAAAGCATTTCTCTGCATGGCATTTTGTTATAATTTGAGAAAATGCATGACTCTTATCTTTTTGAAATTTGACCGACTTGAAAGTGGAATAGTTGTATAGTGTGAAATGATGGAGATGCCTGTTTAGAATTTGAGTCTCTAGGTTTTCTTCTTATTGGGGATTTTTCTATGTTGTCATTAATCTCCTATTAGAGCACAAGTATTTATTTGTCAGGGGATGTGGATTTTTAGGTCTTCCGGTCACAATCCGGCTTTTAGATCCCCCACTGCACGAGTTCCTTCCAGAAGGAGACATCGACGAGATTGTCGTCGAGCTAGCTTCTGATACGAACATGACTGAAGATGAAGTTTTCTCGCGCATTGAAAAACTAAGTGAAGTTAATCCCATGCTTGGGTTTCGTGGCTGCAGGTGAGCTTCACATTACAAGGAATAAATATTCCAATTTTACTCTCTCCCACATTCATTCTTTTGGATCGGCACCACTATCATTATGGTTATGGTATCCATATTCTATAATTGTTTTGTTTTTTATACTGCTGGGGTTGTTGTATGTATTATTTCCATCGTTGTGGTTGATGATAGTCGTATTTGTCTTGAACAAGTACGGAAAATATCTCCACACCCCTATCTTTAGGTTTCATATTCCTATAGATCCAAAGGTTTAAAACATATGTCAGAGCATAAACATCTCGAGTTTTATATCTTCTAACCCCTTAAACTAGCTTTACCGACTTGAATGCTAAATTTTTTAACCCAATCAGCTAGTTAAAAGACAGCCCTTTTTAAACCCATATTACCTCTCTCTCTCTCTCCGTATTACCCTATCTCTTTCTCCATATTACCTCCAAATCTTGAGCTCCGACCAGTACTAAATAACATTCTCTCTCTCTTTAGAACTCCAGCAGCTTTCAACGGTGAGTTGCCCTATTCTCTGGCTCTGAAATTTTAGAGAGAAAAAACCCATCTCCCATATCTCAATAGTAAGTTGTTTCTCTCTCTAAAACAAAAACTTGGAGGTCAGGTTTCTATTCTCTGAAATCTTGGAAAGAAAGACCTTTGACAGGCAAGATCAGCATTTCCAATGAAGTAAGAAGACTATAAAGAAAAACAAAACGCACGACTTTTTAGTCCGAAGTAAGAAGATTATAAAGAAAAACAAAACGCACGACTTTTTAGTCCCTCGACCAACGTCTTTTTCCTCTTTCTTTTATTTTTGGGGTGGGTGGGTTGGAAGGAAAGATCCAACGATTCCATACTTCCTTTGAAGAAACAAATTTGAGAGTAAATGCTGCTACTTCATCCCATTCAGTGTTGGCGAGTCATATAGCTTCAAACACATGGCATGGCAGCCATCGATTTGGGTTAAAAGATGGCTTCTTAACATAACCTTAGGGGGCACTGTATTCACCAGGCTTTTAAAGAAGTAGACCACCCAGTTCGACTCCAAGAGGCAAAGGTGGGTATCGACATTGTTGGGTCGCTGATTGGAAAAAGGGACTAGGTCTGATGCCAAGAAAGAGAAAGAAGCACACTTCCAATCATTCCCTTTCTCTCTCTACCTCTCTAACAATGCATTAACATGAGAGATCCCACAAGAGTTTTCAAACCTCAGAGGCCTCATTCTTCTGAACCTTTTCTGGAATAAATTACATGGATCCACTCTTCTGAACCTTTTCAGGAAAAAATTACATGAATCGATCCCTGAGCAGACTTACTTAATTTGGAATTCTTAGGGCCATGGATGAACAATCCTCGGTTCCCTCTGGAGCCACCGACCCGGCAAAAACTTTGAACACTATTTAGTCGGGAAGAATACTGAGAGAGAGTGTGTTGGGGGGGATTTAATATGGAGAGAGAGAGAGAGAGAGAGAGAGAGAGAGAGAGAGAGAGAGAGAGAGAGAGAGAGAGAGAGAGAGAGAGAGAGAGAGAGAGAGAGAGTAGTAGAGAGTAGAGTAGAGAGTAGAGTAGTAGTAGTAGTAGTAGTAAGTAGTAAGTAAGTAAGTAAGTAGTAGTAGTAGTAGTAGTAGTAAGTAGTA